GGTCAAAATCTTCCAACAACTCCTTATTGGAGTTATTGCCCTTTAATGACAATTTTTACCATTTTTTTGAGTTTTGCCTTATATGATAAGAATTATCATAGATAAGTAGACACTGTAAAATACCAAAAATGATCAGGAAGGCAAGATCTAATAACAAGTCAGATTTTGCTGATATAGTTAGTAGACTGTCACTCCTCACAGGAGTGATTGCTCTTAAATGAAGATTTTTTTTACCCTCTTTTGTGTTTTTAGCAAAAACTAAAGAAGATAGAGAGAAACTAAACAGACTAAATGATCAGCAATACAAGATCAACAAAACGGAGATTTTTGTCATGAATTTTATTCTCATATACAATGTTGGAGAATGTCCTTTGTTGAATATGCATATAGACCAAGGTGAACACACAGGCTATTTAGAGCCTCTAGTCAAATACTTAAATTAAGCTATTTGTGTTTTCAACAGTGGAGATTTGAATTTTTATGCCCCCGCCACAGCGGAGAAGGCATTAAGTGTTACCCTTGTTCGTCTGTATGTTTGTCCATACGTACGTACCTCCCAAAATAAGTTACCTTTCTCTAACTTTAGTTTGCCTCAACCAAATGTTATGAAACTTATACACAATGCTTATAAACACAATACACAAAAGTTTGAATTTGGGTGGTGCACTTTTACTGTTCTTGAGCTATGTCCTTTTATAACGTTATATGCAAGCAAGGGCATCATCTGTGTCCCATGGACACATTCTCCATTTATTATCAATTGATGTCTGTTTAATTTTATGTCCCCCCCCCCTGATTAAAACACAAATAGCATTTATCTGAAATCTCTATATCTCTATTTTTTCTTACATATTTATTTCAGATTTTACCATGGGAGATAACATACACAGAAATGTGTTCAAATCCTACTGGTAACAAACTACAAATGCATTTAACACATCCTTGCATGCTTCCCCTTTGGTGATGGTTGTAGCTTAAATGCTTATATATTGTTTGCTTACTTACAACTTTTAATCAATAGATTTGATTTAAATGCCTTCTGTGCTAACATGTCATTGTAAATTCAAGTCTCCATAGTACAATTGCAGTACACCTCTTAGGGGATGTTGGTTCAAATCCAACTGGTGACCACAAATACATATGCTTTTAACACATCCTTGCATGCTTTCCTTTTGGTGCTGGCTATAGCTTAATTGATTATTACTTTTCAATGTTTGCTTGCTGCCAGCATTTATATAAAACTTTAAATGTTGTTGATGTCCATTGCCCAAATCATATATTTAAGCAACATAAGGTCTATTAGTGCTTAGTGCCTTATTTCATCATTTATTCAACACAGACAGTATGTCCAGTTACTTAAAAGGGGTAGCAATCCCTTCATTAGAATAAAAAATACTTTGTTCAGTTTCATCAAAATACTTTGATATATTACTGCTCATCGCTAACAAAGTAAGAAAGTAAAGGCTTAAATTATGTTTTTCTGCTTACACATACTATATGTGTGAATATGGCTTCATTGTACAGGATGAACATTTGCTTCTGAGATAGATTAACCTCATAAAGTAATAAATGTTAAGGGGGTACCCAACACTTTAAATAAATTAAAGTTGGCTCGTTTGATTTTCATTAAATTTTGACAAAATATTTACTTTTAAAAATATAAAAATTTCAAGAAATTTGAACCATACAATTTGCAGAAATAATTTCATTGGATATATAGCAGGTTGACAAACACTAATTTTGATCATTAAGAAGTTTGATTTCTCTAAACTAATACTTTGTGATTAAAACGTTCAGCTGATTTTTAAAGAGTTAACTCCCTTGTGTGTTCTGTACCCCCTTAAGTTGAAGTTACAAGCTTAAATATAAACACTAGTCTAGTTTGTCATTGTGTGAGTTGATGAATGAAAATAAGTTAAGTGAAAACTCAAATTCCTAAAGTACTTGAACACTTATGACAGCGGGAAAACTGGTTAGAAAATTATCTAGAGCTTCCAAAAAGAGCTTTCAGATCTTAATTCTTTGTACAGACTCTACTGACTACCGGGTACTGGTATATGACTTTGTGAAAAACAAATAGCGAAATAATGAAAACAGAGCTATTGGATAATATTCAAAATAACTGTATTAAGGAGACATCCATCAAACAGAGACCAAATTGACTTGGATGTAAGCAACCATTTTCTCATGGATGGTCGTCAACAATAAACAAAATCCATAGTGTATAGTAATTAGCTGTCCAAGACCCTTACAAAACTAACAGTTATAACAATTCCAACATGAAAACCTTCACGATATCCAAATAGCATGAGTTCATATCCCAGCAAGGGAAGAACAAAAATCTGCTTCCGCAAATTTGCACATTTAACATTTTTGATCATTGTTGTGCTGATATTTAGAGTAATTATGAATATAATATGTGTTTTCAGCCGTGTATCACCTTCACTGGTGATCCAATAGATGGGTCTGTCGAAGAGTTGTCACTTGTTTAGACGTACTTATATATATATAATGGTAGTAAGCAGGTTTTTAGAACATCCGTTGTTCGACCTGTTAGTCAAATGCGTTTTGTTATGCCCCCGCCATAGCGGTAGGGGCATTAAGTTTTACCCTTGTCCGTCTGTATGTACGTACGTCCCAAAATTTGTTTCCGTTCTCTAACTTAAGTTTGCCTCAACCAAATGTTATGAAACTTATACACAATGCTTATTACCACAAAACACAGATCAAGTTGAATTTTGGTGGTGTCACTTTAACCATTCTAAAGTTATGCCCTTTATAAATGGAAAAATTGCAAAATTGTTAGTTTCTGTTCTCTAACTTGAGTTTGCCTCAACCAAATGTTATGAAACTTATAAACAATGCTTATTACCACAAAACACAGATCAAGTTTGAATTTTGGTGGTGTCACTTTAACCATTCTAGAGTTATGCCCCTTTATAAATGGAAAAATTGCAAAATTGTTAGTTTCCGTTTTCTAACTTGAGTTTGCCTCAACCAAATGTTATGAAACTTATACACAATGCTTATTACCACAAAACACAGATCAAGTTTGAATTTTGGTGGCATCACTTTAACCGTTCTAGAGTTATGCCCCTTTATAAATGGAAAAATTGCAAAATTTTTATTTTCTTCTAAATATCAAGTAATTTTTAAAATTGGAGTTATCTTCCTTTGTCCATGATTATAGTTGAATCAACTACAATGTAATGTTTAATTTTGACTTCCACTGATAAAACACAGATCAAGTTGAATTTGGGTAGTGTCACTTTAACCATTATTGAGTTATGCCCCTTTATAAATCGAAAGATTGCAAAATTTTAAGTTTCCATTCTGTAACTTAAGTTTGCCCCAACCAAACATTATGAAACCTATACACAATATTCATTACCACAAAACTGAGATCAAGTACAAATTTTTTGTTTCCGTTTTGTAACTTTATATAGATATAAGAAGATGTGGTATGAGTGCCAATGAGACGACTCTCCATCCAAGTCAAAATTTATAAAAGTAAACCATTATAGGTCACAGTACGGTCTTCAACACGGAGCCTTGGCTCACACCGAACAGTAAGCTATAAAGGGCCCCAAAAAATTACTAGTGTAAAACCATTCAAACGGGAAAACCAACTGTCTAATCTATATAAAAAACGAGAAACGAGAAACACTTATGAACCACATCAACAAACGACAACTACTGATCATCAGATTCCTGACTTAGGACAGGTGCAAACAAATGCAGCGGGTTTAAACGTTTTAATGGTACCAAACCTTCACCCTTTTTCCTTTAGTTTGCCTCAACCAAATGTTATGAAACTTATACACAATGCTTATTAATACATAATACAGATTAAGTACAAGATTTGGTGGCGACACTTTTACCATTCTTGAGTTATGCCCCTTTATGAACATAAAAATTGCTGAATTTTTCGTTTCCGTTCTCTAACTTTAGTTTGTCTCAACCAAATGTTATAAAACTTATACACAACGGTTCTAGAGTTATGCGTGTTTACAAATAGAAAAATTGCTGAGTTTTTAGATTCTGTTCTCTACTTAAGTTAGCCTCAACCAAATGTTATGAGGCTTACACACAATGCTTATTACCACAAAAATCGGATCAAGTTCAAATTTGGGTAGCGTCACTTTTACCGTTCTTCAGTTATGTCCCTTTATAACTTTATGATATGCAAGCGGGGGCATCATCTGTGTCCACATGTGGACACTATCCACATTTATTTTTATCTGTTTTATACTGACAATAAAGGTATGACTGTATTTATTTTATATGCTTTATTAGACATTATAATTTTATTGCTTGTTATATTTTACATAATCATGTAAGTGAAAAGGCGCATAGTCATAAAATTTATAAAAAAGGTTTTATAAGGCCTATTATAGCTTTCTACATACTATGGGTATTACTCAGTGTTGAAAGTCATATTGTGACCAGTAATTGTTTTAACATTCTTGTTCTTTGGTCTTTTGGTAGAAACACTTAGCTGTCTCATTCAGGTAATCATACCACGTCTCCTTGTTTGCATATAAAGAGTTCTGAGAAGTAAATTGGCATTAGCTGGCTAAGTTAAACAGTGCTATCACCACATTGATCTTTTTCTCATTTAAGACCAGATGGATAACAAATACCGGTTATAATATACGTGGAACATGTTTGTTCCAATGTAATAGTGTAGAGAATGGAAACAGGGAATGTGTCAAAGAGACAACAACCCGACCAAAGAGCAGAAAACAGACCAATGCCACCAGTGGGTCTTTAAAGCAGCGAGAAAATCCCCCTAAAAAACTTTATACATGTGATAGGTCTTTGTTAATTGACATGGGTCATATCATAGCTGATTTCTGTAATCAAAATAATTATACTTTGTACTATGTAGGTGACAGTGCTTAAGAATCTAAAAAATCTCATTCAATTTTTATTCTGACAATAAGATGAATAGAGATTGGGTAAGGAATCCAGCTAATGCATTTAGTTAAATTTTATCTATGTTTATAGGTGGCGCTGGAGGTAAAGGCACATGGGGTGCACCGGGGGATGAATTATTTGAGGATGGTAGTTGCAGGGATGCAAAAGATCCTAACTATGACTCAGATAGTCAGGTAAACACACATATGAAATTGTAATTTTTTTGAATCATTGAAAAAGTTAAGTAAATACCAATTAGATAGGGTATTTAATTGATCAAGTTCAAATTTGGGTAGCGTCACTTTTACAGTTCTTCAGTTATGTCCCTTTATAACTATATGATCTGCAAGCGGGGGCATCATCTGTGTCCACATTTATCAAAATATACTTTTTCACTTTTTTGGTCTTTTGGAAAATGTTGTTTGTGCTGTAGGTATCTAGACTACCAAAAAATTTGTTTTGCATGCACTCGTATAAAAATTGCAGTTTTTATCCAACACATAATCACTAAAATCATTAGTGATTATGTATAATCCCTGAAAATGACTAGTGATTTTCCATAATCACTGAAAATTTTAAGAATTATTTTACAAATTCCCTGGAATTTTTTCAGGGATTATCAATAATACAAAGATTTTCTGTTTGGTTAAAATAAATCAAATACACACAATTAAATCATATGTATAACCTCTTTATGGTTTGAGTGGACAGTTTTCATTCCCTGTCCTTTTATCAAATCTTATTAAAGTGAACAGTTTTTATACGCCCGTAAAAATTTTGACGGGACGGGACGTATTATGGTATACAAATGTTGTCTGTCCGTCTGTCTGTCCGGCATAAACATGTCGCACCGTAACTTGAGAACAACTTATCCAAATTTCATGAAACTTAACATAGTTGTTTCTTATGATGGTCAAATGATCTGTATACTTTTGGGTGAAAATAAGATTAAAACTTTTTGAGTTACGGGACTTAGTAACTAAAACAGGTGTGTGTTTTTTTTCACATGTCGCACCGTATCTCAAAAACAATTTATGATTATTGCTTAAAACTTTACACACTTCTTAGTTATATTAATTTTAAGATCTGTATACTTTTTGGTGATGATTCAAAATTTTATTTTTGAGTTATTGAGTATTTTGTAAAAAAAAGGGGAGGGGTTTTTCACATGTCGCACCGTATCTCAAAAACGATTTATGATTATTGCTTAAAATTTTACACACTTCTTAGTTATATTAATCTAAAGATCTGTATACTTTTTGCTTTTGATTCAAAATTTTATTATAGAGATATTGAGTTTTTTTTTTTTTTAAAAAGGAGGGTTTTCGCATGTTGCGCTGTATGTCAGAAACTATTTATGATTATTGCATAAAAATTCACACACAAGACGAAGGGTGTATCATGCACTCATGGCACAGCTGTTTATTCTGGTGATATTCTATTTAAGGCCAAAAAAAAATATATGTCTGTTTACGGTTACCCGACCGACCCTACTTTTGAGCACCGACCCTAAGTCATTTTATTTCCGTCGTAAAGTGAAAAATAAACTGAACTTGTGTCAAAAGCGAAGTTAGTGTTGCAAATAATATAAACCAATTGCCTGATACATCCCAATGTTCACAATCGTGAATATGACAGCTGTTTTAAGGAAATTCGCAACTCGTGTGATGAAATAAACACTTTGCCGTCATATTTTTCCAACCAATTACCAAGGGAAATAATCCAATCATTAAAAATACGGCCCATGATCAACTCGGACCACAACGCATGACTCAAAATCATGTCACAAAAAATAAAATGAAAAAATAAAATAAAATGGAAATACCGACCTACCTACCCTATTTTTTTAAAGTATGTAACCTTAAACAGACATATATTTTTTTTTGGCCTAACTGTGTTAAACCACATTTACTCATAAACAAATAGGTTTTTTTAAATTGAAATTAATAACACCAGCATAAATGCACAGATCATGTTATTTGCCGTACAACAAAGCGGATGAAAGTTAACAAACAATTAATTCGAATTAAGCAAAGAAATGCAGCCAAATGTCCAGAAACACAAACAGAACACATGCTTGACATATTGAACACAATTTTGGAGGAGGCTGTGATACCAATTCTGTATGTTGATCGTGGAAAGGGAAACCTCAAAAACATAATGGCCATCGTTCATAAAAGGGTTGAAAAGGATATTGCTTGGCTACAAAACATGAAATTATGCTCAGATAATACACACGGAATCAATTTGAGGTGTCTGATTGACCTTTTTAGCACCTTCAGATGTTTCTAATGAACACTTTATTTTTCTCCAGATTCAATATGTGGAGGCTAAGGGTTTTTGGGGTTTTATTTGGTTGCAAAAAAAAAAGGATAAGCAGATCAAATGCTCAATAGTAAAGGGTCTGGGTGGGGTTTACAGAATAGAGAATAATGGACAAACAGTGCAAAATAAAGGGCCAAAAAAAAAAAGAATAGACAAAAAAATTAGAATAGAGAATAATAGCGTGCTAAAATATACAGAATAGAGAATAATGGGCAGAATAAATAAAGTAAAGAGAAAAATTATCTCAAAAATTAAAGAATAAAGAAATGAGGGACCCCCCCCCCCCCCCCCCATCCAGACCCTCATGGTAGATGTCATCCAAATTTACAATGTAGCTGAGACCTACTATGTTATATTAGTCTCAGAATGTAGTTAGTAAAAATAAATGATTTGTATTAGAATATTGTGCTTAAGATTTTAATATTTATGTTTCTAAAGATGTTTAAATATGATTTTATAGAATAAATTATTTTACTTTTATTCATTGTCTCTTCATTCCAGTTTTTATGAATAATCCCTGACATTTTTCCTACTGATTATGCATAATTCCTGAAAATACATAATCCCTAATTTTACAAATTAATTCACTGTAACATATATATATATACACCACACAGTCATATCTTAAAAGAACGTGGGAAAGTCGGTACAAGATGGACAAAGAGAGATAACTCTAAGTTCCAAAAAAATGGGACTGGAAATACATTGGAACAATTAAAATTCATAAGTTGAAAAGAAACCGACAACATCAATGCCAAAAAGAAAACAGAAAAAAAAAAACGACAAATGGACAAATTACAGTCTACAAAACCTTCAGGAAAGATGAAGACTGAGAAACACGAACACATAGCATATACTCATTCAATCTATTTTGCATATTTGGAAATTTAGTTATCATCATTGGATTTCCTATTGATCACATAGTTCTCATATGAATTGCATGTCATCGTTCGATGTTATTTAATTCAAAAGATAAACTAATGTAAAAATGAACTTCATCTTAACTGTATTGACTGAGAAAGAAATGAACAATATTTTGAAAATATTATTTAATCTTTGAAATACACACACTGGGGCTGTGATATTGTGTAATTAATCGAAGATTGAAATTAAAAATGGATATGAAAAAAGAGAAAATGAACCCAAGTACTTTTTGTTGTAGAAGGCTTCCCCATGTCCCTGAGCCAAAGAGATATCACGTAATTTTAACCTTTGTCTTTTCTTATATATAGCTGAGCAGAGTTCTTAGTGAATTTAAATCTTTTTCTTGGTTAAAATCAATTACATCCGACCACATACCACATCCATTCACAAGACAGATGAGAGAGAAATACCAAGTCTTCCAGCTGCCGATTTAATTCAGAAACGAAAGGTAATACATGATTGCATACACATCATGACATCTTATGAAACTTTAATGTTATATGCGTTTTCTGATGCTCATGGTAATGGTAGATCTTTATTATGTTCTCTTATTCTAATTTATTTGGGACCAAGACAACACATTAGTCCCAGGTTTGATACACATAAACACTTTATTCTTTAATGAGATATTTTACTACGGATTGCCGAGTATTTATTAAACCTTCACGCAATATGCACGTTCTCACCGATTTTAATAAAAGCCTAGTCTCTTATACATATACCAAGCCTTGAATTTGTACATTGCACAAAAATGTTGGTAATAAACCAATACTACAGCACCCAATGCCACGACTAATGCATTTAAAAGTCAGCAAATTGTTTACAACAAAAAAAAAGTGTCTATACTTATTTCAAAGTAGAGGCGAAGGATACCAAAGTGACATTCAAACTCAATAATAAACTGACAACGTCATAAGAATGAAAAGACAAATAGACAAACAACAGTACACAAAACAAAACATAGAAAAACCAAAAACTGAGCAACACGAACCCCACTAAAAACTTGGGTGATCTCAGGTGCTCCGGAAGGGTAAGCAGATCCTGCTCCACATGTGGCATCCATCGTGTTGCTCTTGTTAGTACAAACCCGATGATAATTCTAATTCGGTAGGTCACATTCAAGCTTTAAAATTACACACATGTTAATAATCTTAATAATACAACAACACAAACATACTCTGAACTAGCTAGGGGGCATAGCATACATTATTGTTTTGGGGCCAGCTGAAGCCCACCTCTGGGTGCGGATTTTTGTCGCTGCGTTGAATACCTATTGGTGGCCTTGGGTTGTTTTCTGCTCTAGGTCGGGTTGTTTTCTCTTTGACGCATTCCCCGTTTCCATTCTTTATTATATGAGAAAAAAAGCCCTAGGCATTGAATAGATGTAGATTCCTACAATGTATATGACTATTATAATAATACCGATATAGAAGTTGAAGCAACTTTTTTTAGGAACAACTGATACCTTGACCAAATATAACATTGTAGTTGGAGGGGACCAATTAACTAGAGTACATTTAGAAGGTTCTAAACATCTACTGTTGCAGGCACTGAATCCTGTCAACAGGTTTGAACATCTGAATCCTGTAATCTGTGAATTTTGGCATTTAAAGCAGGATTTTCTAGAGGTAATTTGATGAGACTGAGCAAAATAGACTGAAAATAAATACAAAAAAGTTTTAATTCAAATAGGTATTAGATTTGTTATTTGATTGTTACGCAAGGACTTAAAAATCAATGATGTAAGCAACAACAACTTTTCCCTCCATCATTTACAGAAATAGTACATATTGTCCCCCGCGCAACGCTTTGCGGGGACATGGAAATACCTGGCGTCCGTCCGTCCAGTCTTGTTAGTGCTCTCACATGTACAATTCTTGCCAGATTTTTATGAAATTTATATCATAGGTTTATATCAGCAATGTCTTAGACAAGTTTGAAAATCAGTGCAGATCAATTATTTTTAAAAGAGTTATGCCCCTTGGAAACATTAATTTTATGGAAAATTGCATCGTTAGCGCTCTCATGTGTACATTTCTTGTCAGAATTTTATGAAATTTATATCATAGGTTTATATAAGCAATGTCTTAGATTAGTTCTAAAATCAGTGCAGATCAATTAATTTTAAAAGAGTTATGTTCCTTGGAAACATTAATTTTATGGAAAATTGCATCGTTAGCGCTCTCATGTGTACATTTCTTGTCAGAATTTTATGAAACTTATATCATAGGTTTATATTAGCAATGTCTTGGATGAGTTCGAAAATTAGTGCCGATCAATTATTTTTAAAGGAGTTATGCCCCTTGGAAACATTAATTATATTGAAAATTGCATTCGTTAGTGCTCCCATTTATACAATTTTTGCCAGATTTTTATGAAACTTAAATCATAGGTTTATATTAGCAATGTCTTAGACAAGTTCGAAAAACAGTGCAGATCAATTATTTTTAAAAGAGTTATGCCCCTTGGAAACATTAATTTTATGGAAAATTGCATTGTTAGCGCTCTCATGTGTACATTTCTTGTCAGAATTTTATGAAACTTATATCATAGGTTTATATTAGCAATGTCTTGGACGAGTTCGAAAATCAGTGCCGATCAATTATTTTTAAAGGAGTTATGCCCCTTGGAAACATTAATTATATTGAAAATTATATTTGTTAGCGCTCCCATTTATACAATTTTTGCCAGATTTTTATGAAACTTATATCATAGGTTTATATAAGCAATGTCTTAGACAAGTTCGAAAATCAGTGCAGATCAATTATTTTAAAAAGAGTTATGCCCCTTGGAAACATTAATTTTATGGAAAATTGCATCTTTAGGGCTCTCATGTGTTCAATTCTTTCCAGATTTTTGTGAAACTTATATCATAGGTTTATATAAGCCATGTCTTGGACAAATTTGAAAATAAGTGCCTATCAATAATTTTTAAAAGAGTAATGCCCCTTGGAAATATTACTTATATGGAAAATTGCCTTATGAGCGCTCGCATGTGTACAATTCTTGCTAGATTTTTATGAAATTTATATTATAGGTTTATATCATCAATGTACTTGAAGAGTTCAAAAATCAGTACCGATCAATTATTTTTAAAAGAGTTATGCCCCTTGAAAATATTGATTATATGGAAAATTGCAATGTTATCGCTCTTATGTGTTCAATTCTTGCCAGAATTTTATTAAACTTATATCAGCTAGTTTTATATCATCAATGTCTTTGACACTTTCAAAATTAAGTTCTGATCAAATATTTTTAACGAGTTATGCCCCTTGGAAATATAAATTATAATGGAAATCACATTGCATTAGCTCTGAAGCCTTCATTTCTCTTAAGATATTAATAAAAAGTTTTAAAGAACAAAAAAAAGTGCTTTTTTTAGTTATTGCCCTTGTACCTTGGATAGATAAAATATGTGCAACGCGGGGGACATTGGAACTCTGTTCTTTTATTTATTTATAATTAGTACAGTATTAGAATAACAAATAGATGAAATTAGTCAATGAGCCCATGAGACACCTACCAAATTAAGTACAATTGACGTAGAAGAACATCTAAAGGCCACCGTAAGGCCTTCAAACTTCAACAATGAGATATACCATTACCGTTTTTATACTGTATACATATAGGCAGCTATACTAAGGCACCGACATGAACAAATGTGAAACAGTTCAAACGATAAAACCAAACGTCGTATTTATGACCAAAAAATAAAATAAAAATAAACGGAAAACAAAACTGACAGACAACCACTGAGTAGCAAGCTGTTTACTCGGGACAGAAATTAACTGTGAATGACGCTTACAGAACTACTGCAATGATCCACCAATAAAAGAATGATGAGGGGATACATAATTATATTTGTGCATAAGACGACTATTGCACATAGTAATTGTGTCAATGAATATACGCATATATTAGCAAATATTAATTTGTATTAAAATGTCTTATTGCATCTCAAAAAAACAAATATATCTGTTGTAATGGAATTTTGTTTTATATCCATTATAAGCGATTATCTACATTTTTTCAGAAGTTGTACAAGCACCAGTTATACATCACAAAGACACTGAGAGAGCAAGGCACTTTAGCATATTTCAGAACTCTTCTCAGAAGGACAGATGTCAATGGAAAAATCAAGTCTAATTTTCAGGGACATGCCAATTTGATTAAAATTGTAGTTAAGAGGCTCATTGTTGAGCAGTTTTTGTCATTTTTTAATATGCAAAACGAAAATGACAACAACCCTTCCCCTGCTAATTTAAACATTCAAGATAATGTTTCTTCCGCCAATAAAATTACTAAAGTTGGGGTTCAACGGGAAATTATTGGACTCTTTTTTGAAATATTATGGGTATATTCCGTCTGAAAATATTCCCAATTCTACAGATGAGTTATTTAATTATTGTAATCAGTTATGCCTATGGGGTTTGCAATTTTTTGAAATGGATGATACAGTAAAGGAGGGTGACATCTGTAGAGTTATACCCAATTTCGCTCATAATATATCTTGCCTGTATAAGTATAAGGCAGAATGTATAGATTATCTGTCTAAGCATATGGCAGAATGTATAGATTATCTGTCTAAGTATATGGCAGAATGTATAGATTATCTGTCTAAGTATATGGCAGAATGTATAGATTATCTGTCTAAGTATATATGGCAGAATGTATAGATTATCCGTCTAAGTATATGGCAGAATGTATAGATTATCGTCTAAGTATATGGCAGAATGTATAGATTATATTCTTAAAGTTGAGTTTTTCTCATCACCTTTAAATAAATTGCGAATTTTAGAGGACAGCTTTGTCAATGTTAAAGGCGGTACATGTAAAAATGTTGAGGCTGACATGGTACAGGAACATCATGTTAGACACCAGAAAGATTTAATAAAACAGATAGGTGCAAACAAATCAAACGTAGCAATATCTCGAACTACAAGTGATAGTAACATACTAGCTTCTATTATCGATAATTTTGACACCTCAAATGGTATAAACAGGAAAACACCATCCTATACAAAGTTTGTTTTTACCGAGGAGGAACACATCATACGCCCAAAACTTAGGGAATTTAATTATTTTGAGTACAGTGTAAACAGACAAATGGAAGTAATAGAACAAAATCTTTGACACCATTCTGCCAAAGAAACAATGTTGTTTACCACAAGCGTATTAATACTTTTATTGATAAAGTTAAGTTTGGTTATCCTGTAGATGACGCAAATGATTCTGATTCTGAAAATGAGGACGATAATGATGCCGAGGACGAAGCACATATCGTCGTATGAGGTTTATAGTGTTCTATAATCACTTTTGATAGCCCTGTATTTAAGACACAAGTGCAATGATCAATCTCCCTATACAAATACGAGATTTTTTCGTTATTCGAGTTTTTGTCTGAACTACACTTTTCTGTCTCCACCCTGACCATTGAATTATAATGAAAGTTCAGAAGGAAATATTGATACATATATCTTTAAGATATGTTTGCTCTATAATTTGTCAAATTTATCATAGTAATACTAGTCTTCATTTCAAAATGTATGTCAACAAAAAATTTCTCTTCAAGCCCATAACTTTTATTCTAACATAACTGGCTTCATCTCAGTCAAATGTTTTTGAAATTGCGCTCAATTTTATATTCAATATCCCTACATCAAGAAAAATGGTAGGTTCAACCTTAAAATACTCACACGACGATATGTAAAGTCAATATAAAATAGTGCTTTAGTTGCTAATCTACGCCATTTAGTCTCTGATGGATGGTCGTCTCATTGGCAATCATACCCGTGACATCGTATTATTATATGAAGCATGCACATGATGTTGTTGTTTTTCAATTACTTATCTGAACACTGAGCACTCGATGTACAATGTTTTTATATGATTAATGATTAATGAAAGAAGACATTTCCGGAGTGGTGCTAAATGAGCCAAAAGGTGCTGAGAACTCGATGTACTAATTTTTTTTTTAAAGATTAATGGTAGTAGTCAATTCTCGAGTGGTGCTAAATGAGTCAAAATTGCTGAGCACTTGATCTACAATGTTGTTTTATGATTAATGAAATAAGACAATTCCTGAGTGGTGCTAAATGTGTCAAGAGGTGCTGAGCTCTTGATGTACTATGTTTTCTTTTTATGATTATTGGTAGTAGACAACTCTTGGTGGTGCCAAATGAGGCAAAAGGTGCTGAGCACTAAATGTACTAGGTTTTTTTTAATGATTAATGTTTAATGACAGTGGACAATTCTTGAGTGGTGCTAAATGAGCCAAAAGGTGCTGAGCACTCGATGTACAATGTTTTCATATGATTAATGATTAATGATAGAAGACAATTCCTGAGCGGTGCTAAATGAGCCAAAAGATGCTGAGCACTCGATGTGCAATGTTTTTATATGATTAATGAATAATGATAGAAGACAATTCCTGAGTGGTGCTAAATGAGCCAAAGGGTGATGAGAACTCGATGTAAAAAAAAAATTTTATGATTAAAGATTAATGGTAGTAGTCAATTCTCGCGTGGTGCAAAATGAGCATTAGATGTACAATGTTGTTTTTTTATTAATGACAGTAGACAATTATTGGTGGTTCTAAATGATCACAAAGGTGCTGCGCCCTCGACGTACAATGTTTTCATATGATTAATGATAGTAGGCAATTCCTGAGTGGTGCTAAATGATCAAAAGGTGCTGCACCCTCGACGTACACTGTTTTTATATGATTAAAGAATAATGGTAGTAGAAAATTCTTTGGTGATGCTAAATGAGCAAAAAATTGCTGAGCACTTGATGTACTATGTTGTTTTACGATCAATTATAGTAGACAATTCTTAGTAGTAATAAATGAGCCAAAATGTGTTGAGCACTTGATGTACAATGTTTGTTTAATGATTAATGATAGTAGACAATTCTTGAGTGGTGCTAAATGAGCAAAAAATTGCTGAGCACTTGGTGTACTTTGTTTTTTTTATGATTAATGGTAGTAAACAATTTTTGAGTGGTGCTAAATGAGCCAAAAGGTGCTGGGCACTCGATGTACTATGTTTTTTTTTATAGATAAATGATTATTGATAGTAGACAATTATTGAATGATGCTAAATGAGCCAGAAGGTGCTGAGTTGATGTACTATGTTTTTTTTATGGTTAGTGATATTAGACAATTCATGGTTGTGCTAAATAAGCCAAATGGTGCTGAGCACTCGATGTACAATGTTTGTTTATGATTAATGATTAATGATAGTAGACAATTCTTCAATGGTGCTAAATGAGCCAAAAGGTATTGAGCACTCGATGTACTATGTTTTTTTCTCTCACTATTAATGATTAATGAGAGTAGACAATTCTTGAGTGGTGTTAAATGAGTGAAAAGGAGCTGAGAACTCGATTAACCATGTTGTTTTATGATTAATGATAGTAGACAATTTCTGAGTGGTGCTAAATGAGCCAAAAGGTGCCGAGCATGTGATGTAATGTGTTTTTGATAATTAATTAAAGTAGACTTATATTATTACAGACTATTTAATATGTAAATTTTGAATATATCTGTTGTTCATAAGGACATTAGGATTAGCCAAATGATATGTAAAAAAAGTAACTGTTTACAACTTGAGACTATATAGTTATGTTATTGTTATACTGAACTTACTCATGTTATTGCTCACATATTTTATGAAATACATACAGTACAAATTAAACGTTTTTTTTCTGATTTTCATACCATTAAAATGTGGAAGTACTTTTCCCAAAATGTGGGTTATAAATAGGTCAGTATAACAAACTTTTAGACAAAAAGAGGACTACTGGATTCGACAATTGGGAACTGCGACACCATATGGTTGCAATGACAAAATTGATGGTATAGGTATTCTATCTAGTCCTTCCTGTAGCTCGGTGAATGTGATGAATATTTTTAAACTCTACTCCTCGACGTAGACGCAGTCTTGGTCATCGTCATTATACATCACCTACTTTGCATGATGTCTCTATTAATGACTTGCTGCCATTTATACAAAAGCCGTTAGGTATTCATCACATTCGCACGAAACTGTATTCATTACCCCTTTCAAAACTTCATTCTCTGTTCAATTTATGTTTGGAAACCACTGTTACAAACCCTTATTCAAACCAATACAAACTTACACTTACATTGGCACTCATACCACATCTTCTTATATCTATTTACAGCTATCATTTCGGATATTGCAAGTCACAGACTTTTCAGACCAGTTCGCATTGGAAAAGATGAAAAAGATAAAAGATCTTTTCTTAAACTTTCCTTTGCCAACAAAGGTCTCGATGGCGTCAACTTAGGCAATATTCTTCATCATAAATTAGTTCAGTCGAAAATACCTCCTTATTTTAAAGATCAGTCTGTACCAATAATTTCTACCTATACCAAACCAATTGCAACTAAAATTTTCAATTACAAACACGTTTTGCAGGATCTCAACATTGACGACTTCAAGTCTAAACCTCCTGATTGCACCTGTGCTAGTTCCCAATTCACATATAATCCGACTGGCCACGTTATTACCGGAGACCTCAACATTGTCAATAACACTTCCCTGCGAAATTTGTTATCCAAAGGTCCGAAATATCGTGAGCCTAAATCCATTTATAATTGGAAATACAACTTCAAAATACTGATGGATTCAGTCGAGGATTATGCCAGGCAATGGGCTAAACGCGAGAAAGAAGAGGTAGATACTCTTTCCGAATGGATTAAGGCTGTGAGGTCGTTGATACAGATCCGAATTAAGAAACTAAATGAGCCTATCAATACCTAGGCTACGTCAATTTTTAAAGACCCAAATGTTGCAAAACACTTGTCCTACCTCCATGACAAAAAATGTTGTTGTCCCCGCAGATAAAGCCCCAAACAACATCGTTTTTGTATGTAAATATAATTACATAAACTGCTTGATAAATGAATTAGGTATTGACAATTCACTTGGAAACTCAACATACCGGTATACCCGCACGACACTTACCAAAGAGGAAATCCTGGCTAATCATAGGTCTGTTCTATGTTCCTTTGGAATTTCAACCAAAGATGAAGAACTGGGTCTTCCATCACTGTATTGGATACCTAAACTACATAAGTGTCCTTACAAACAACGGTATATTGCTGGGTCTTCCAAGTGCCCCACGAAACCTCTTTCTAAATTATTAACATCTATTTTATCATCAATCAAAGCCGGGCTCCAAAGTTATTGTGAAATTGCCTATTCTAGAGGTGGCGTGAATCAGATGTGGATACTAAAAAATTCCAAAGATCTTTTAGAGTACATACAATCTAAGACTCTCTCATCTTGCAATAGTATTAAAACATTTGACTTTTCTACACTTAACACAAGTATTCCCCATTCCAAACTAAAAGACAAATGCGAACGTAGATACAAGTATCTTGTCTTGGGGAGGGATAAATCCTACTTTGTAAAGAATCACTCTGATTCAAACAAAAAATTCTCTGAAACTGACATTATCAAGATGCTTGATTTCTTGATTGACAACATATTTGTTACGTTTGGAGGACGTGTTTTTCAACAGACTGTCGGAATTCCAATGGGAACCAATTGTGCCCCTCTTCTTGCCGACTTGTTTCTTTATTATTATGAGGCTGACTTCATTCAGGAACTTCTTAGGAAGAAAGATAAGAAGCTAGCAATATCCTTTAACTTTACGTTCCGCTATATAGATGATGTTCTCTCACTAAATAATACAAAATTTGGTGACTATGTTGAACGAATCTATCCCATTGAACTAGAGATAAAGGATACTACAGATACAGTTAAGTCTGCCTCATATCTTGACTTACATCTAGAAATTGACAATGAGGGTCGGTTGAAAACAAAACTTTGCGACAAAAGAGATGATTTCAGCTTCCCAATTGTGAACTTTCCATTTCTATGTAGCAACATTCCAGCAGCGCCTGCACACGGAGTATATATCTCCCAATTGATACGATATTCCCGGGCTTGTATAGAGGATTGCTGCTCACAAGGAAGCTATTAAACCAAGAGTTCCAAATCGTGAAGTTGAAATCATCCCTTCGTAAATTTTACGGACGCCATCACGAGTTGGGTGACCGTTATGGAATAACAGTTTCACAGATGATATCGGATATGTTC